TTCGCACGAACTGAGTAGCTGATGTTGGTTGGGAAATGCAGTTTAGAATTACAAAAACAGCGCCATCTATTAGTGAAACATAAATTCAATCACTACTGCCCACCGCACGTCAGTGTTATTAGCGATGTTCGCATAGTGTTATTGTTATTATTGGGCAGCTTTCATTAGTCTAGAAACAAAAGTTAATGTCGCGAATCAGATTACACCAAGTGGATTTCTGTACGATTGTTGAAAAATCAGACGAACGCTCTTTGGATAAATTACCGGGTCTAATCCGACATATAGTGTGTTGTTTGTGATGATGACGACCTGTCCTATCGGTGATTTAGGCACATCTTTCCCAATCCCCCTCTGAGATAAGATTTAAAGAGAATTTTTATGGCTTCTGTATTACAACGAGATGGATTCGACTGTCAGGCTGCCTCCAATAATCCGTGGATGAATAATGAACATCGAGTGAAAAATGACTGACCATTAGAGATGAGAATAGGGTTTGTCAATATGCTGCATGGCCAAGGAACCACTGGTCGTTAACAAAAATACATACTTAACGGCGGAGCGTGTGGAATAGTAATAGCACATTTGTCCTAGGTCATCACACACACAGGTTATCACAACAAACATTATTAGGGGTTGCACAAAACATTTGTTGTTGTTGCGAATTTTAATTTTAAACTGTGGATATTTGCAGTAATATTTTGTCAAAATCTCGTCGTATCCCCCCAATGATATCACCTATGCCTGCACTGCTATAACAATGAACCGGAACATTGCCTCAGGCTGCAATTCTCAAATGTAAATTGGTAAATTTCGACCCATGTTCATCTCAGCTTATTTTAAAACAACTAAGAAATCGTCTTGAGCTAATTGAATTCCAGTATGCAACAAGGGTACATCATGATGGGTTGCCAACTATAATAGCATTTGTGACCAGTCACGCCATTCTCTAGGAAGCAACACAACGAATGTTTGGATGTGCGGTTTACCGAAGACAACTGGATAAACATTTCGCTCTATCTATCCATGTTGCTTTCGTTTCAGAATCAGAGGTTGTGGTGATTTATCAAAATATGACGAAATATTTTAATATTTTACTTTCATACTATCTCTAATTCTAATAAACCAGTCAATTGAAAAACTGTGACCGACAATGTCCGCGTTAATTATATTCCATTTCATCATAGACTTATACAACATTTGTCTTGATATACAGTAGATACTTCACTGGGACTGTAAATCAGTTTAACCGACCATAACTTTGTACAATAGCACTTGATAGTTTTTACTTTCGCTCAATGTCTCTATAACACGAAGCATGTTACGGAACATGGGTTGGAACGTAATGTGTTCATTAACTGTAATTAATAAACAACGAAATTAAAATTTCTCACTTTTTCGGCAAATGAATAACTTTATTTCAGCTATGCATGTGCTCAAATCATTGGAACAGTCCCTATGATAAGGTGTAATTAATTGTTGCCAATGCCCTGGAGAATTTTACTACGACCACATGACAAATATGAAAGTTACGGCCTTAGGAAATATGACTACACCCATAAGAAAATATTGCTACGGCCTTAGCGAGTGTTACTACGGTCATGAAGAATGTTACTATGGTCACGGGGAGTGTTACTATGGTCATAGGGAATGTTACTATGACCACAGGAAATGTTACTACGGGCATAGGGAATGTTACTACGGCCTTAGGGGAATGTTACTACGACCTTAGGGAATGTTACTACGGGCATAGGGATTGTTATTACGACCACATGGAATGTTACTACGGCCTTGGGGAATCTTACTACGGCCTCAGGGAATGTTACTACGGCCTTGGGGAATCTTACTACGGCCTTAGGGAATGTTACTACGGGCACA